CTCGAACTCTCGGCTTCTAAAGAGCTCTGTTTTTACTTGCTTTCCAGCAGCAACGCCAGAGCAGGGCAAGGAACCACCCGAGTGGTAGTGGCGCCTGCCTGTCTTAGTCTGAAACTGTGGTTTCCGCTAAGCACGGGTATGAGACGGATTCTCTTTCAACTGCCTGACACTGTCCTGGAGGAAGAGAATCGTTCCCTCTCGTGGCCAAGCTCGGCTCAGGCAGGGTTGGCACTCAGCCCCTCGATGAGGCGGGACGAACCATTCAGAGATCACGAAGACAGCAGGGTTGGGTGGAAAGCGGCTTTGAAACCACATCTCGGAGTCCTGCCTCTTTGGCCAATTAGCTTTGTGAGTCTGGGTACATTAAGCCCAGGGGAGGACTCTGTCTTGTGAAGGTTTTTCTCACACAAAAATGACGATCCCAGGCCTCGTCTGTCTGTCTCCTTGAAGGACCCGCCATGGTCAGAGCTGCAGGCCAAGTGGACACGGTGGCTCTCAGGCTCACTGGCCAGCAGGGGCGAAGTCAGCTCTCACCGACTGAGACGTGGAGGGCCATCTCCTCCGTGGCGTTCTGGGATCTGCTGCCTGGGCTCGCTCTCAGCCTTGTCTAGGAAGTAGCCTTGACCGGGCGAGGTGGCTCACGTCTGTCATCCCAACACTTTAGGAGGCAAAGGTGAGAGGTTTTGCTTGAGTTCAGGGGTTCGACCAGCCTGAGCAACATGGCAAAACCTTGTCTCTCCAGTAACTCAGACAATTAGCTAGGTGGGGTGGCACATGCCTGTGGTTCCAGCTACTCGGAAGGCTGAGGCGGAAGGATCGCCGGAGCCTGGCAGGTGGAGGCTGCGGTGGCTGTCAGCGTGTCACTGCACTCTAGCCTGGGCGACAGTGAGACTCCGATTCAAAAAAAAAAAAGAAAGAAAGGAAGAAAAGCAGCGTCCTGGGCCAAGAGCATGGGCGTTGGCATGATGCTTCCAGTGTGTCCTCTGGGTGGTCTGCTTGTTGCTTTTGCCTCAGTTGACAAGTACACACACGACCTGCCCTTTTGTTTTCCTGTTTTGGGCTGGAGTGCAGGGGCATGTTCACGGCCACCGCAGCCTCGACCTGCCGGGTTCAGGCCATCCTTTCGCCTCAGACTTCCAAGTAGCCGGAACCACAGGCGCGCGCCACCCATGCCTGGCTGACTTTTTAAATTTACTGTGGAGACGAGGTCTCACCGAGTTGCCCAGGTTGGTCTCAAACTCCTGGGCTCAGTCAGTCCTCTCGCCTCGGTCTCCCAAAGTGCTGGGATTATAGGCATGAGCCACCGTGCTCGGCCACGACCCACCGTTTAATCCGCGGGTGGCAGAGAAAGACAGCAAAGCCCAGATGGATTCTGCAGGGAGCTTGGTTTCACAGGACGGGGTCCTGCCTCAGCAGGAGCAATGGGCACGGCTAACGTGAGGACCCGGTGGAGTCAACTGACCCTCACGTGGAGGGACTGGGTGACTCTGTGGGTGTCCCGTGCCCTCTTCATTATCTACTGTCTGGAGAGACCTCAGCACCCCGGGCCATCCTGGTTTCCTGGGGGTCACGGTCGCAGGGCGCTGCCTGCCTTCCTCCTTCCCGGGCTCCAGGCGAAGGCCCGCCTCCACAGCTCGTGGAAACGAGGCTGCCCAGAGGCTCAGCCTCACGCTGGCCTTTCTCCTCTCACCCTCCAAGGTCTTGGATTTGTCTGGAAATCTACAAGGCCAGGCCTGCTTCTCTTTCCCACGTAGGTTTCTTGGCCTTAAGTCTCTGGTTTAAAAACAATCTCCGCCAGGTGCGGAGGCTCAAGCCTGTCATCTCAGCACTTTGGGAGGCGGAGACGAGAGGATTGCCTGAGCTCAGGGGTTCAAGACCTGCCTGAAAGCAACATGGCGAGACCTTGTCTCTACAGTAAATCAAAAAATTAGCTGGGCACGGGGGCACATGCCTGCAGTCCCGGCTACTCAGAAGGCTGAGACGGAAGGATCACCAGCAGGTCGAGGCTGCGGTGGCCATGAGCGTGCCACTGCCCTCCAGCCTGGGCGACAGAGTGAGACTCTGACTCCAAAAAAAAGAAGTCTCACGCATTTGGGTCCACAACTCTATTCTTGGCTGATGTCGCCTTCTAGTCCTCATGGGGGCAGGTGGAGGTGGGGGGAAGGAACACCCGGAAGGCAACGCCCCGTTGTTAACCAGCTGGGGTGTCGGAGGCCACCCAAGGTGTGCCCCATGCATCCCTGCACCCTCTTGCTGGGAGCGCTGAGAAGGGGCCCTCACCCTTCTGCACACAGGCTGTCCCCACCCTCTGCACGCAGGCCCCGCCCAGGGCTGTCCCGTGACCTGCCCCACCCTCTGCACAAAGGCTGTCCCCAGAGAGCTGCCTTGACCCCTCTGCCTGCAGGCTGTATCAGGGCTGTCCCAAGAACGGCCTCGACCCCTCGGCACGCAGGCCACCCTCGGGGCTGTCCCGAGTGACCCGCCCCCACTGCCCTGCACAGTGAGCTGCCTCCACCATTCTGCACACAGGCCGTCCTTGGGACTGACTTCAGCGAGCTGCCCCGACCTCCCTGCGTGCAGGTGGTCCTCAGGCCCGTCCAGAGCCGGCCCTGTAAGGGCTCAGGTGGCGGCCTCCTCTGGAACAGCAGGCTTGCGTCGCACTTGCTTTAAAACGGCAGGATCAGCTGGGCTCGGTGGCTCAGCCTGTCATCCCAGCACTTTGGGAGGCTGAGGTGAGCGGACTGCCTGAGTCTGCGGGTTCGAGACCCGCCCGGGCAACCTGGCGAGACCTCATCTCTACAATAAATCAAAAAATTAGCCGGGCATGGTTGCACGCCCCTGTAGTTCCAGCTACTCGGAAGGCTGAGGCGGAAGGATCGCCGGAGCCCAGCAGGTTGAGGCTGTGGTGGCCGGGAGCGGCCACTGCACTCCAGTCTGGGTGACAGAGTAAGACTCAACAAAAATAAATTAATAAGTAAACAAAACAGCAGGATCGTACGTGCCCCAGCTACAGCATCCTCTACTGCCAATGAATTCCAAACTTTACCTGTACGATGACCACTTACGCACCTAACTCTGAACTGTACCCTACATCTTCAAGATAAAAAATAATTTTGAAAACCAACAAAAACCTCAATAAACCAACCCCCCCCCCAAAATGAAAAAGCCCCAGCAGGATCACCAGGTTTGGCACCCTCCCCATTTCAAAGGCTCCAAGCATGCAGACACCCACCTGGGCCCTTCCACCGCACATGGCACCCGGGGACAGGTGCAATTGGACAGGCATGGGCTTCTGGCTGTGCGTGTTGAAGCCCTCTGCCTTCTCCCAGGAGTCCTGTCTTCTCTTCGTCCATGAGACAAGAACAGGCGATCTTGCCTGGCAGGAAGGGTCTTGTAACTGGCCCTGACATGGTGATAGGCCCAATTGGCCTGTTTTCTTGATAGTAATCTGGCAACTTAACGGGTGTCTCGTACGTTGTTTTCTACGGACCTTCAGCATCGCTAAGGTGTGATCCGTCCACAGGGCAGGGGTAGGTATGTCGTGGCCTGTGCGCTGTGGGAAGAGTTTTGTGGAAACAGCCACATGTTCATTTACGTGTTGTCTGTGGCCAGCAGAAGCGGTAAGTCACTGGGACCCAGACACTGGCCTGGAAGCCCAGAGGATCACCGCCTGTCCTTCCCCCCGTGAGAAGACATCCTGCGCTCAGGGCCGCGGGTCCCATGACCGGCCGAAACAGCGAGCACCCCTGAAGGGGAGCTTCGTCTGAAAGCCCACCGGGCCAAGACTGTTTTCCCCCCACCGAGATTGCGAAACCCCAAGGAGAGAGTCCCTTTCCAGGACCGGGTGGGACTCGCATGCCCATCTGCACTGGGGGAAACGAGCATCCTGTCAGCGTGGCGACTCGTGAACTCAAAGGCTGTGTTCCTGCCAGAACAGAAATTTTCATTCGCTGAAAGGTGCGGCACGGGCAGGGTCCCTTGGAAGGGCACTTTCCCAGGGCAGGATGGGGAGTGGGTGACGCAGACCGAAGCGACAAAATCCGGTGGGCGGGGGGGGTCACTGAGAAGCCCAGCTCTGCCCTCCAGATGGAGGGGCGCTTGGCCGTTGGAACACCCTTTCTTTCTCCTAAGGATCCTTTAAAAAGCACGAAGCTGGCTGGGCGCAGTGGCTCAGCCTGGAAGCCTAGTACTTTAGAGACCAAAGCAAGAGGATTGCCTGAGCCCAGGGATTCGAGCCCCACCCGGGGAACTTGGTGAGACCTCGTCTCTACAACAGATCAAAAATTAGCTGGGTGTGGTAGCGTGTGCCTGCAGTTCCAGCTACTCGGAAGGCGGAGGCGGAAGGACCACCGGAGCCCAGCAGGTCGAGGCTGCGGTGGCCAGGAGCGTGCCTCTGCATTCCAGCCTGGGTGACAGAGTGAGACTGACTCAAAAACATCCCAGCATGAACCCTTCATTTAGACACCAAAAAATAAGCTGAGGAACGCTTCTCACAGAGAAAGTTGTGACTGCTGTGGCCGTTCCACGGGAGCCCTCGTGTGGCCAATGAGACGCACCCACGGCAAGCACACGCCGCACCCCAGCTGCTCCCTCCTCAGGCCCGCATGGGGAGGGCTCGGGCCAGGACAGCTTGAGGGGCAAACCTGCTCCCTCGTGTTCCCACAGCCCTCTCCTCAGGAACCAGCACGCTGGACTGGACTCCAAGGGGAAGACCACCGAAGCCCGGGACACAGTGAAGAGGCCATGGCAGGCCTCCCGGGTGGGCCTCACACACGCCAGAGGGCTCTGCGGCCCCGTCGCCCGCCATCTCCTTGCGAAAGGCTATCACAGAGCTGGGAGGAGCCAGTCCAGGGAGTGTGGGGAGAGCTGCCGGGGTCAGGAACGGTGCCCACGACAGGGCTCACCTCCCCACTCACACCACTGACCGGAACGAAGAGATGCCGTAGCCGTGTTTCCCTCTGACCCCGTAAAGCTGAGTTATACGACATCAGAGCCCGAGACCCGGTCAGAGTCGGTTTCTTTTTATTTGGGAGTAACTATGGTCAGCTTCTACGAAGGCAGAAGTTGACGGATCATGTTAAGAACCAAAGTGGAAAACAAAGCCGATCCCCACAGCCCACAGCGTCGCTGGCCTTCAGTTACGGCGTGCTTGGGACTTCCTTCTCGACACTCACAGCAGGGGGGCTCACATCACCTGCCCGTCTCACCTCGAGATGCCACCGCAGCTGCGGGGATCACGTGAGGTAAAGGGTCAACCAGTGGCAGCCTGGGACTCCGACAGCAGAGCCGCTACGGCGTGTCTTGCCAGGCGCTGAGGGTGGCGGGACCTTCGGTAGAGCCAGGCTCACGTGTGCACCGCCCGAGCTGGACCAGTTCCGACCAACGCCCTCACCTGCCGCCCTGCCACCAACAGGCCTTCTTGTGTTGGGAACATTCAAAATGGAATTGGCTTTGGATTCAGGAAACATAAAAATGAAGGCGTCTCAAACAGCGAGGAACCCCCAATGGTCTGATTTTGATGGGAATCTGAACTGGGCCCTAGTTACACAAGACACCCCCAAACCCAGGAAGAGCCACTGCAGGGGGGATGGTGGTGGAAGGTGCCGACACTCGGCATCGCCCAAGAGAAACGTTTCCACTCGCCGCAAATGAACGAAGACCACGGCATGCAGGTGGAGGCCAACGGTCCTGGTGCGGATGAAGCCCAGGCTTCCTGGGGTCGCCTCCCTCCTCCATGTGGGGCAGCCTCCGCCCTCACCCTGGAAGGCCCCAGAAGACACGGCCCTCGCCAGCCCTGCCCCACCCAAGCTCCTAAGCCCTTTCATCTTTCAGACTCCAGAGGGGAAAGTCTCGAGAAGAGATGCGTCCCCAGCACCCAAGTGGCCAGAGCAGCCACGAGCTGGCAGCCACTGCCAGGGACATGGCTGTCACCTCCGGCACCCGGGGGTTTTTGCCACAGCCTGCTACTCTGTCGGGGCAGACCAGCCTAGGGTTCCCCAGATGGACAGAGCCTGGCGGACACTCAACGTGCAGCGACACCACACCGTGATGGCTGTCACAAGCAGTGCCTGGCCACACATATGCAAGCGACGGGGCTCGTTCTCACTGGGGCTGCCACTCCCCTGTGAGCCATGTGTGGTGTTCCTGACAGGGAGGTGCTCAGGCTGAAGGCTACGCAAGCCCTTGGGTTCTGGGTCACGCTGCACCCTGAGGGTTGGGGTGTGCACCCTACGGTACCGTCATGTGTCTGAATGGACTCACAGGCTCAGACCTGACCACACAGGGAAGAAGCAAGACTGTGGCCCCAGGACAGAGAGGATGTGGGGAGGGCAGAGACCAAGAGCGTTCAACAGCAGCTGCAAGAAGGGACACGTGAGGGAGTTCACAGTTTCGCACGTTGCACCAGGAAGTCGGCTGACTGTGGAGCTTCGCAAAGAGGACCCGAAACAAAGCCAGTCCAGAGAGTCCTCCGGCGTGGTCCTGCAGCGGGCTACGGGAGCCCACGACAGTCCCCTCTCCCAGTGCTGGGCAGGGCCTGCGGAGGCAGCGTGGCGCTACAGAAGGCGTCCCGAGAACCTGCGAGTCCTGAAGCCGCCGCGGCTGAACATGAGGCGGGGGTCGAACCGGTACCTGAGAGGACAAGACGGTGTCACGTGAGCGCGTGCTGGTCACTCGGTGTTGCTTGATGGAAACGAGGGCAGGGAGGGACACAAGAGGGACGGTCAGCACTGAGGGGAGTCCGGGGGGCCACCACCAGCACGCACACACCCAGTGCCCTGCCCAGAGTGCGCCTGAGCCGAGGGCCGAGGGGCTGAGGGCGGTCGGGCCATGTGCGTGCTGGGGGGCGGGTGCCGCTGCCTGCTGCCACCACAGTGCTAGCGGGCCACCCTTGCTGGACTCGCAGACGGCCCTAAGTGCAGGCACAGGGATGCTGGCAACAGTCAAGGCTGAAAGGGCCAGATCCCCAGGCCACTCCGAGAGGGGGTACGCCCACGAGAAGGTGTCAGGGGATCGTGTTAAGAATCAAACTGGAAAATGAAAGCCAGTGACGAGAGTGCATCCTCAGCTCAGTAAAGAGGGAGAGTCGCAGCTGGGCAAGGACACCCTCTGGTCTGACATCATCAAGCAGGAACGTGGGTCAGTTCTGCTGTCGTCCCTGGAACTGCAAAGATGGCGGCCACAGTGCTGCCGGGCACTCATGGGAAAGTGAGGTGCTCCACTGTGGGCAGAGACACCAGCAGACACAGGCGGCAGACAGGCTTGGTGTGCCCGTGAGTCAGGCATCTGCCACGAGGCCTGGGACGTGCCCCCGCAGGTAAGGGGAGACCCTGGCATTTCAGGACAGCAACTGGCCGACGTTTTGTGACGGGCCAGACAGGAAACGCATTAGGGCTTGGGGGCTGTACAGTCTCATTGCCAAAGCACAAAAAGAAACTGAGGAGGACGAGCAGGTGGACGGCCAGGCCCGCAGGATCGGCTGACCCCAGTCCAAGGACTCGACAGGCCCAGGGTCTGGGAGGAGAGTCATGAGGGTTAGGGAACTGACATGGAAAACCAGGCGGTGTTTAAGGGGCTTAGGCTAACGCCAGAGAGCCAGCATCTAGGACCTTCGTTAGACGCTTCCAGAATGCAAGACAGTTAACAAACACAACTCGCTTGGGAAACAGGAGACCGTGCTGTGTCCGTTCATTATGGGGTGACCCTGAGCAAATCACACCTCTGTGCGCAGTCTCCTCCTCTCCTCCTCTGAAATGACCCCCGTGGACTCTTGGGGCGGCCTGGGAATCCTGGCCCTTGCAACCCCGACCAAGCCAGACGTCCAGGAGAACGAGGCAGCCCCGCCTCTCTTGCTGGCCATCTGGAGGCTGGTGCGGCAAGTCTGCGCTCCTGCAGCACAGAGGTCAGCGAGGCGGGCCACACACCCCGGCCCGAGAGGCCCCTGGCCCTGACTCTCCACGTTAGGCTCCTTCAGAAGTTGCCTGCGTTCCATGGTCAGCCGGGGAGCATATGCCTAAGAAGCATGAACTGCCACGGACACTGAATTTAGCTGGCTCCGATGAGGCGCTCTCAGTTCAGCAGCTGCTGTAATCTGCACAATGAGCGCGTGTCAACGGTCCCTCATGCTTTCATTTCAGACACTGACGTTCCTAGTTCAAGTAACTGCCACCAAGCCATGGTCTAGTTCACGAACCCGGAGAAAAGACCGAACAGTGGTCACAGGCTGGGCCATTCTGACTGCACGAACAGGGCTATCCATATCAAAAATGTTACACTGTTTAAGCAGCGTGAATGAGCATCACCTGCTGTCCTGCTATATACCACACCTGGTTTTGGTGCTGGGGCATCCCTGGCTCCAGCTCTCTGTATGCTGTTTAAGAGCAGATCCTCACTGATTCGTAAGCCGCCCGCAAGCCAGTTTAAACCCCCTCACACCTTCTCCCCTGACTTGGACTGAAGAGAAGATGCGACGTAAAGATGGTTGAAAAAAGAAGCCAGACTTTCCACCGCTGAGGATGCCACTCTTCTCTCTCAGACCAGAGGGTAAGAGCTGAAATCATCCCTTCCTGGGGACGCTTGATTTTTAACTTCAGAATCTTCAAGCAAAAATAAATGATGAGCTTCCTGCCACAAGCAGCTCCAGTGCATGGGGTCCCTGCCAAGAAGTGACCATCCAGGGGGCCCGGGGCGGGGGTGAAAGTCTGGCCAGCAGGTGACGCTACACCCCGTCTACACTGCCACCCACTGCGGAGGGCTCCTGCGGGTCTTCCTTGTGTGTGTTTACTCGACTATGTTTACCGGCAGACCCTCAAGCCTCACTGAGAACTGGGGTTTCTGGAAGCGAGAAGAGGGAGATGCTCCCGGAGTCCCAGGGAAAGACATCCCGGGCAGAGCCCCGAAGGTGCCTGGTGGCACTAGGACAGGCGAGTGGTGCCGTGGAAGCACAGCGGGGAGGTGGGGGCAGGCCGCCGCCGGGTGCCACGCTGAGGGCCCGTGGGCTCCGTGAGCCGCCGGAACCCCTACCCGCCAGGGAGACCCGTGGAGCCGGCCGGGGAGGATGCGTACCCGGGGTCGAAGGCCCCCGGAGAGCGGCAGGAGGGCCCGGCGCAGGACTGCAGCATCATGAGGCGGTAGTTCATCTTCCCCAGCAGCTCTGGGTCGATGCTCTTGGCGATGTTGGTGAGCTGCTCCGGGTCCGCGGTCAGGTTGTAGACCTCCACGAACACCTGGGCGAGGAGGAGGGCGAGGCCGCGCATGATGGAGGCGCCAGCGGAGCGAGTGCAGGGGGGGGAGCATGGTGGCAGGTGAGAACCGCCCGGAGACCCTCGCCCTGCCGGCCGGCAGCCGGCGGGACACCCGCGACGGCTCTGAGCCGCTGCCCTCCCATGGTCACATGCAAAGCAGTTCTCACACAGGCCGGCATTGGGAAGGGAACGGGAGCTGGTCTGTCGGAGCAGCACTGGCCTGCTGAATGCACCCACCGCTCCCCAGGATCCGCTCCAGCCGGCGCCACCCCCACGTGCAGGGGCCACTGTCACCCCAACCCCCAGGCTCACAGGCCAGGAACAGATCACTCTGCCAGTGGGAACATACTTCTTAAGCGTGTGCGGCTGTGGCAGGAGCAGAGATTCAGAGACGTGAGGCCTAGCCTCACGGAAGTTGCCCCTAACTGGAGAGAACCCGAGTGGAGGACACAAGAGTCGCCATCTTCCCGAGGGCGCAGCCTCGGAGCTGCCCTCGTGCCACCGAGTCCAGCCAACAGGCTGGCCACAGAGCAGGTCGAAAGGCCCGGGCGGGAGTCCCTCTCACCTCCTGGTCATCGAACTCGCAGTACTGCAGGTCCCACGCTGACGACACGGTCCTCACGCACGCATAGGTGTTGTTGTAGGCGTCCTCGCACACGCAGTCTGGGAAGCATTGCTGCGGGGCATTGAGGAGGTCAGCGAGACAGTCCCCCACAGCCCAGCCACACATATCCAGTCACCTGCGGGAAGCCACATGGTTCCTGCAGAGACATCGTCTAACTGGGGACAGAAGCCCTCATGCAGAAGGCTCAGTGCAGAGGCCCACGCCTGTCATCCCAGCACTCTGGGGGGCAGAGGCGAGAGGACTGCCTGAGCCCAGGGATTGGAGCCCAGCCCGGGCAACTTGGCAAGACCCCGTCTCTACAGTAAATCACAAAATTAGCCGGGCGTCATGGCGCATGCCTGCAGTCCCAGCTACTTGGAAGGCTGAGGTGGAGGGATCGCCTGAGCCCACTGGGTCGAGGCTGTGGTAGACACGAATGTGCCACTGCACTCCAGCCTGGGTGACAGAGGGAGACTCTAACCCAAAAAAAGCAGCCCTCCCCCAGCGGGGCTGGGAAACAAGCACAGGTGGGGCCCTGCTCGCCATGGGGCTGGCTGCCCAGGGCGTGTGGCTCTCCGCCTGCAGACGGCTGCCGTCCTCAGCTGCTGACCTTCCGACAACAGTGACTGTGCTGAGCCCCGCCAAGTGCGTGGCTTGGCAAGGAGAACGAGGCCCCTCTCAGGACCGGCAGGAGCCGCTCAGGGGCTGGCGAGAGGGGCTCAGACACGCACTGGGGCCCAACCCCGCCCCCTGCGACCCCATGGGGCCTGCCACACCCTTCCCGGGTCCTGCTACTCCGGAACACTCTGGTGTTGGGGACTCGACGCGCACAGAAGCCTGTTTCCCCCTCTCCAGAGCGAGGCCAGTGTGGCAGCCACCCCTCTGCAACCGGCCTCGCTGCTGCCCACAAGGGGCACACATGGTAGCTCAGGTTGGGGGAGCCCCACCTTTCTACCGGACACCCCAGGAAGAACCCTAATAAAAATGCCACTGCTCTTGGGAGGGTTAGGGGATGGAGGAGGAAGTGACCCGTGCACTTGTCAGGCGGACTCGGAGTGCACGTTCTGACTCTGGGATGGCTGGATGCACCAGTGTCTGTCTCCACCTCCCACAGTCCCTTGACAGGGGCAGGACTCAAAGGAAGGAATTCACCGTGCGACATGTCCAAGCCAGTCCTCGGTCTTGCCTGTGAGGACATTGCCCCAGCCTAAGCCGACGCCAGCCACTACTCACAGACACGCCGGGACTCAGGGTGGGACACGTGGGGTCAGTGACGTTGCGGCCTTCTCCCTGATACTCCACCAGGACGTCCGACCTCCAGGTCAGGTTGCTGGCCCCTCTCTAGAAGGAAGAGCAAGGCGGCTTCCGTGAGGCAGAGACTCAACGCAGGTCACACGGCTACTCGCCACTGCTCAGGGGGACCTGGGAGTCCAAACTACTTGGACAGGATACATGGGGGCTCAAGGAAAGGACCCCAGCGGGGGCGTGTGAATGCGGCTGAGTGCCAAGCCGGTGGTCACCAGCCTTCACGAGTGATGCGCAGACGCTTTGAGCATTTAACCGTCGCTTCCCAAGACTGCTCTGCTCCAGGGCCAGGAGCGGAGCCTGGCGAGGCAGAAGCAAGAGCCTGAGTCTCAGTGCACACTCAGGTCAGTAACGCAGCGGACACGCGCTCGGAAGGACCGTTCTAGGAGTGCTCACAGCCTCACAGACGCAGGACAAGTGGCAGACGCCCAGCAGGGCTGTGTGCCAGATGGGGAGCCCCTGCCTGCGGGGGTCACAAAGGCTCAGCGCGTGCTAACCACCAATGTCCCTGCACACCGGGCTGCACAGGGAAATGAGCGGCCACCACCGTAGTGGGGCAGCAAGGCAGGTCTGCAGAGGGCGGGCGTGAAGGGGCCGGGAGTGAGCACGCTGCTCGGAAGAACACAAGCACGGCTGGGGGACACCCGGCGGCTCTCAGATGAGGAGGCCAGGCCGGGCAGCACGGCGGGACACAGGGCAGGTCCCGGCCCCAGGACGGGCCACTTGGCTGCTCCATGAACGGGAGGCGGGGGAGGGCGGGGCGGGAACAGCATCAGGCGGGGCGTCAGGACAGTGGCAGACAGAGGCAGAGGGCGTGAAGCGTGGAGACAGGAGCCCGGAAAAAAGCGTGCCTCGAGGCCAAGAATGTTCCCGTTCATGTCTGGGTGCTGGCTGGGAGCGCAGTCACGGGCCCCAGCCCTGAAGCCCAAACCTGCATTTTCCTAAGATTCCGGGAGGTTTACACTCATGGAGGAACCAGGAAGATGCTCTAAGAAGAGTTCTCACAGGGCTGTGCTGGTCACAGATGCAGATTCTCAGCTCTCAGTGGGGCGAGGCGCCCCGGGGCTCTCACAGTCCCACAGGGGCGTCTGGTGAATGCCAGCTTGGGCACCCCGCTCCGAAGAGCGCTTCACCTGGCCAAGCCCAGCAGGGAATGGTGACGGCCTGCGCGAGGCCTCGAACGCTGTGGCTGCTCGCAAAGGGGGACCGGGTAGAACGATGGCTTCGCTCACCGTCCCGCAGTGAAGCCGAGACCGTCTCACGCAGCTCAAGGCCCCAGACATCCCAGTCAGTGGCTGCGTCGGAGGATTGCGCTGCCAGCCCTGAGCCACGGAAGCTGAGAGGTGGAAAGCCTCTCCCAGTCAGGCCCCAGGGAGCCTTGAGACGCCACCGAGTGCCGGGTCCCCAAGGGAAACAGCACCTGGAAATCGGGTCTGAGTCTCTGGAACCTCGCAGTATATTGAATTGCCAGTGGTGAAAATCCCTGGGGACTGGGCCCAGCCCCCAGCCCAGCCCCTGACAGCAGAGCCTCTGGGTGGGCCCCCACGTGCGCCTCCAGCTTTCTGAGTGACCCCGATGTGTGACCAAGGCTGGGAGTCACAGGTTGGAGGGCCGCTGAACAGGTTTCATAAAGGCCACAGAGGACACGCTCAGGCTCTGTGGCTGGCGAGGCTCTGGCCTACCCACTCAGCCTGCTGCTGCAGCGGGAAAGCCATCTGAAACACACACACCAGCATGCTGTGCTCCCTCAAACTTGGGTTTTCCTTGAGGGCTTTTTTGAGCCAAGGTCTCACTCTGTCCCCCAGGCTGGAGTGCAGTGGCGTGGTCATAGCGCACTGCAGTCTCGAACTCCTGGGCTCAAGTGATCCTTCTACTTCAGCCTCCCCAGTAGCTGAGACCACAGGTGTGTACCACCACATCCGGCTTATTTTTTTTTTAATGTTTTTGTGGAGATGGGGTCTCACTATGTGGCCCCAGCTAGTCTAGAACTCCTGGCTTCAAGTGATTCTCCTGCCTCGGCTCCCAAAGTGCTGGCATTATAAGCATGAGCCACCGTGCCCAGTGCCCTCTACAAAAACAGAGCGGGCTGAATCTAGCCCACAGGCTCCAGCTTGCCAATTCCAGCACAGCAGAACTTTCTGACTGAAACGGGTCTATCTGCAGGGCTCACAGGATGGCTGCGGAGCATGTGTAGCGTGGCTGGTGCAACTGCAGAAACTCGTTTAACTGTAGCTAATTTATTTATTTATTGAGCTGGAGTCTTACGGCCACCCCAGTGTCAACCTGCTGGGTTCCAGTGATCATTCCGTCTCAGTCTTCCAAGTAGCCGGAACTACAGGCGCGCGCTACCACGCCCGGCTAATTTTTGATTTATTGTAGAGACAAGGTCTCTCCAAGTTGCCCAGGCTGGTCTCGAACCTACGGGCTCGGGCAATCCACGCACCTCGGCCTCCCAAAGTGCTGGGATGACAGGCTTCAGCCATTGTGCCCGGCCTAATTTTAGCTAATTTAAATGAACAGCCCATGAGGCTACTTAGCTGGCTACTTAGCTGCTCTAAAACATCAGTAGTTCATCAGCATAACCTCCAAAAACAAAACAGGAAAAGGAAAGAGCCAAGCCCTAAGTGGCACTTCCAGAACTGTGCAGAGAAATTATACACAGGAGGAGGAGAGCTACCCCTAGAGTGAATCAAGGTTCTTCCTATTTAGAAATAGGCGGGCTCGGTGGCTCAGCCTGTAATCCCGTGCCTTTGGGAGGCTGAGGTGAGTGGATTGCCTGAGCCTGTGGGTTCGAGACCTGCCTTGATGAGACCTCATCTCTACAATAAAATCAAAATGAGCCAGGTGAGGTAGCGCGCCTGTAGTTCCAGCTACTTGGAAGGCTGAGGCGGAAGGATTGCTGGAGCCCAGCAGGTCGAGGCTGCGGTGGCTGGGAGCGGCCACTATACTCAAGTCTGGGTGACAGAGTGAGACTCCAACTCAAAAAGAAAGAAAGAAAGAAAGAAATTTATGAGGTACACATTGTAAGACTTGTATGGAGAAAGTTAAGAGATATATTTCCCCCTAACTGATCTACAGATTAAAGCAATTCCAACCAAAGTCAGCATCTTCCAGACAGTCTGAAAAGCTGATTCTTAAAACTGACATGGAAGAGAGGTGGCCAGGACTCCCGCAGGAAGAGTGCAGAGACAGGGGAGCCCACACAGGCCGAGTTTTAACTATAAAGCTTTACAGGACAAAATGGCACCAGCGTTGGGACAGACGAACCGTGGGGCAAAAGAAACAACCGAGTGTCCATGGAGGGGAGCATGGAAGAGAGTCCTGGCTCCCAGCCCACAGAAACACCCACTCTAGACACATTACAGCTTGTGTGGAGAGGCAGAGCCGTAACACTTCCAGAAGAAAACGCAGCAGAACCGCTTCCTGGCTTCCAAGTGTAGAAGCGTTTTTAGAAGTAATACACAAAGAATACGAGCTGCTAAAAGGAACAACGCCGAGGGTCAATTCCTGCACCCCCAGGTCTCGTGGGAAAAGACACATTGCAAACAGGGAAAACCACGGGCGACACACAGAGGTGCTTCACAGGGAGGAAACTCAAAAGGCACAAACAGAAAGTGACCCTGATCAATAACCCACTAGTAACACAGGCAGAGGACCGACCGACTGGACATTTCTCCAAAGAAGAAATGCAAATGGCCAATAGGCACGTGACAAGATTACAAGTCAAAACCACAGTGCGATGCCACTCCGCATCTGCTCCATAAATCATGAAGACAGAAAAAAGCAAGGGTGGGTCGGGGGAAACACGTCACACAGGGCGGCCGCTTTGGTCAATGGATGGCAGGTCCCCAAAGGGTCAACATCAAGTCACCATGTAACCAGCAATGTCTACTCCTGGGTTTGTCCTTGAGAGGACCAGACATGTGTCCACAGAAAACCCTATAAATGCTCACAGCAGCACTATTCATAACAGTCCCAAAGTGGAAACACCCCAAGAGTCTATCTGAGGAACAGAGAAATAAACTGTGGTGTGTTCATGCAAAGGATTATCCGACAGTAACAAGGAACGCAGTGCTGACGCGCGTTACAACATAGGTGGTCTTTGAACACGTGCTTAGTGAAAAGGCTGGTCACCGAGGACCACATGAGACACAGGTCCACATTCTGTACAGACATAAAGTCGACTTGGGGGGGAGAGGGAGCAAGGGGGAAGATCATGTGTCTGGGGGCTTCCTTTTGGGGTGATGAAAATGTCTAAAATTAGATTATGGGTGATGGTAGTGCAACTCTGAGAAAATACCAAAAACTATTTAATTGGGCACTGTAGATGAGTGAGTTAACTGCTAAAAAAGTCATAATTAATAAACAAATACACGCACAGTAAGACTGAATATTGTGTTCACATATTAGGGGCAAAAACGAACTTGTCTGACAGTTTTGTTTAGAGCAAAGGGCGTTCTCACATGCTGCTGGTGGGAAGGTGAGCTGACTTGGCCCCTTTGTAAACTAACTTGGCAATATCTGCAGAAAGGTGGAAATGAACACGTGTAGTTCCTGGGTCTCGGTGTACACACGTGTCCATGGGAGACGTGTGCCAGAATGCCATGGCTGCACTGTTCACAAAACGAACCACAGCACAGGTGCCCATGGACTGCAGGAGAACAGGCAGAGTATGCTGTGTTCACACCATGGAGCATTAGGAGGCCGTGAACAACGCTGAGCTGAGCAGAGCCCAGACTCACCCATGAGATGTCGTCCTCAGAGCTCAAAACAAGACCTCAACGGGGTGTGCTGTTTAGGGATCTGCATGATAACTATTTAAAAAAAAGCAAGAGACCGATAACATGAATTTGGGGCAGCGATCACCCTCCGGGGCAGGAAAGGACAGGGGAGGAGCCCGAGGTAAACCACAGGGCCGATGACATGCGCGTCCTTTGGCACAATGTGGTCTCCCAGGCATTTCCTGTGTTTAACTTGCGTTGAGTTACGTGTCTTCTCTCATATGAATCATATACTACCTACTCATAAATTAGACAGACTCAGATGAACCATGGAGAAAGAGTCACCTATAATTTTATGACGCAGTCATACTCAGTCATAGTCCCCATGAACAAGTAAAACATTTGACTATGGATCCTTGCAAGCGACTCTGCACGTCAACATACTCACATGCGTTTTTAATGGGGAAGAGAGGCTGTCAGGAAGCGTCCCCTTCTCCCTGTGGTACAGGGCAGGCATCTTCCAAGTCAGTGCCTACAGACTATACCACCTAGTGTGGGTTTAATATTCTTTTTTCTTTTTTTTTTTAAGTTGGGGGTCTCACTCTGTTGCCCAGGCTGGAGGGCAGTGGCACGCTCCCGGCCACCGCAGCCTCGACCCGCTGGGCTCTGGCGATCCTTCCGCCTTAGCCTTCCAGGTAGCTGGAACTATAGGCACGCGCCACCATGCCCAGCTATTTTTTTTTTTTTTAATTATAGAGATGGGGTTTCGCCAAGTTGCCCAGGCTGTTCTCAAACCGCGGGCTCAGGCAGTCCTCTCACCTCAGCCTCCCAAAGTGCTAGAATTACAGGTATGAGACACCACGCTGGGCCATGGTTTAACATTCTACTGATCACCTGTGCCACTGTTTAAACAGTCCCCACTGGACAGTGAGGTGGTCGGCGTTCACCTATTCATACTAAATGTACATTTTTATACAAAGCTCTTTGTAGTGCCAGGCACAGGAGAAGCTCAGAATTTGTCTCCTTAGAATAAATTCCCCAACAGAACTGCTAGCTGTGGATGCTCTGAAGTGATGTGTCTTGGTAAGCTAGCTCCCTGATAGGCTATATACTGATTACATTTTTATGAAAAGTATATGGGTAGCTTCCAAATTCTTAAGACTTCTGCAAGCCGGCACTGTGGCTCACGGGTATAACCCCAGCACTTTGGGAGGTGGAGGTGACAGCATTGCCTGAGCCCAGGAGTGCAAGACCAGCCAGGGCAACCTGGGGAGACCTCATCTCTACAATAAATCAAAAAAGTAGCCAGGTGTGATGGCATGCATCTGTAGTTTCAGCTACTAGGGAGGGCGGGGGCAGAAAGATCGCCTGAGCCCAGCAGGCCGAGGCTGCGGTGGCTGTAAGCATGCCACTGTGCTACAGCCTGGGTGACAGAGTGAGACACTGTCAAAAAAAAAAAAAAAATCTTTGCTGGCTCACAGATGAAGGTCTCCTTCAGGTAACCCCTTCTTTGATTAGCACTGAAGTCATCTTTTTGCATTGATTTTGGCCAGTTTTAATTCTTTGAGAGTTGATGAGTCACTTTTTGTCTATTTTTCACCTGGGATGTTAATCTTTGCCAGAACTCACATATGAGGACCCATTCACACACAGTGCAAGTACCTTCCCAGTGTGTCACCTTTCTTTACTTGTGAGGGGTGTCCTGGGAGCAAGTGGAAGGGAGACAGAGCTCTGAGTTGTCCACATGGTCTACTTGTTGGCCTTTTGAAACGCCGTTCCACAACAAGATCAAGGAAAAATCCTATTCTCTGCCCCTCATGTCTCTTGTTATTTAAGATGTAAAAGTTCAAGTCTTTATAAGGCACCTGGGATAGATTTCTGCCTTGGCTGGGGCCTGACTGGGGGCTTCACACTCACCAAGATGGGTAGCAAGGACATCCCATCCATCTGGGTCCTATTCGGGCTATAGCCGGCGATGTCCAGGATGGTCGGGCCCAAGTCGATGTTGGCCACCAGCATCTGTTGGGGAGGAAGCATCAGTCTGGAACACCACCAGCCTGGGGTTCCTTTTCGTTCTCAGGCCCTCCTCCACCACCCATGAGACCAACAGCACTTGCTGTGACCTTGTGCGCAGCACAGCCCACACTGACTTTGATCTTACTATTCCATGTACTCAAATACAATTGTAATAACTTAGAAAATGTGCAGCTTGTCACATATCACCCTGGGAAGTTATATATTTACTCCACCCATACTGTTATCAATCAAAACATCTGTAAAAAGCTCCTTGTAGATTGCCTGCGTTGTTATGAATCATGATACAAATGTGGGCTTAATTGTTTTATACAAGCATCTTCCAACTTGATGATTCACATTCACTCAACTTGACTTCAGATGGACTCCAACATTTCTGAAAGTCTCAAGGTGGCACGCCTATCACCAGTGAAGACTAGTAGCTCTTTCTATAGTTTCTCCAAGTGACACTGACAAGGGGTATGAAGGCTGCAGGAAGCTTACCCAATAAGGCAGCCCTGAAAGTTTCCTTAAGGAATATAAAACTTTGTTTTTAAACAAACATTCTAAAAACTGAAGACACTGTCCTCTACTGACACCCTGGCTTAACAGTTTTCTTCCTGTATGCAACAGGCCTAACTCAGCACACTCCAATGGACACACACAAGGGGCCACACGTGGAATTTAAAGTTCCCAACAGCCATGTAAAGCAAAAAGACACAGGTGAAATTCATTGTGTGGTTATTTAATCCAATATATAAGAATATCTGAAAGAAGAACAAAATCATGAACTTTGCAACAACCTGGGTGGAATTAAAGCTTATACTACTGAGTGATCTCTCACAGAAACAAAGAGCTGAGTATCACATGTTCTCACTCACAAGTGGACCTTGA